GTCGCCTATGCATGTGGATTTTCAAATGCAATGTTTCGCTTTAAATTAAACGCGTTCACAACGAATCGAATCTATTGTACGGCTTATAACGATTATTTAATAACAAAGAACAAACATTTATCAACAATAAAAGAACGATTTTTTCAGAGAAATATATTTATGCAATAGAAAGCAAACTTATCTAGTCTGTTAATTTGTAGAAGAATCGTTACATAATCAAACGTATTAAGGTCTGTGCAATTTACGTTTATTTATGTGTGGAGACAGTACGTGCTTGTGGGTGTTCACTCATTATGTTGTTGACTAATTATAGTTTGACATATAACTAGATTGTGATAAAATGGATGTCCTCATTGTTGTATCTTTAATACTCTAACAAGATCTAATGTTTATGAATGCGTTGTACTATTGACTGACAACAGATTATAACAATGTAGCCAAATAATTTAGGTGACAATGCATTTAATAAAAACAGTATTATTTTTCATTGTTATTGGCACACGTCATTAGATTCACTTATCTATCAAGCGTTAATCTCTTTAGTGATTATTTCTCACCGTTTTATTTTATTTAGCATATTTAAAATCTCTTTCTGGTTTTTATCATCTTATTGTATCAGATCATTGCAAAAGTTTATGCCCAATTTTCATTGTTAATTTAAGATAACCGCAACCTGACACTGGCGTTTGTTTCGATGCTTATTTCTGGTGTGTTCTCGATTGAATCCTTTCATCGTTCAGTTACGAGTCAGATTTTGTTGAATGTTGACGTTTTGTCCACAAGTGAATGCCTTCAAGATGGAGAAGAAAAAATTGCACTTTCGCCACCTTATGCTCTATGAATTTCGGAAAGGAGTAAGCGTCGGAACTGCGAACAAAAAAATATCCAAAATGTTTATTCGGATCGTTTATTTTATTTTATTTATTTATTTATTTATTTTGCCTCGTTCTTATTTTCCATCCCTTTTCTTTGTTCCATTTTGTACTAATTACATATACTGACTAAAATAGTCATGCAGGTGGGAATTATTTTCAACTTTTGATTGCGGTATCAGTCATATCATGCAGCGGAGAAAATTATTTGGAAAATAAACGTGTCGTACTAGATAAGCAACATGATGGGCGGCGTGGGGAATTAAAATAATCGCCCAGCATTTGTATTTATTTCTTATAGTCATCATCATGAATCTTCTTTTAACATTTTTTTTTTTTTTTGTTATCACTTGCTTTCTGTTTAGTACAAAACTTTTTAATGAGTCACCAAGGTTATAAATATCAGATCATTGCAAAATTCCGTGTCTAATTTTCATTGTTAATATAAAAAGACCGCAACTTGTCACTGGCATTTGTTTACGTACCTGTTACTGGTGTGTTGAAGATTGAAACCTTGCATCGTTCAGTTGCGAGTCTGGTTTTGTTGATGTTTTGTCCCCAAATGAATGCCTTAAAGATGGCGGATGTAAAAGTTTCACTTTCGTCATATTATGCTCGATGAATTTCGGAAAGGATTAAGTTTCGAAACTGCGACCAAAAAAAAACATTCGGAAGTTTTAGTTGGATCGTGCTCCAGCTCTTCGGAGGGACAGAAAGTGATTTGGAAGATATCATCAAGGTGAATTTTTAAACTAAACGATCAACCGCGCTCCGTTTGGCGTTCAGACGTCGATGAAGATGCTCCGTTTGCCATCGTGGTGAGCAAATTGAAGATTTCGACGGAAGCGATTGCTAAACGTTTGAAAATCGATATCTCAACTGCCTTTCGCCATTTGAAGAGACTTGGGTTCAAGAAAAAACGGCCGATATTGGTAAATCGAAAAGGTGTCTTTTCCACTACGACAACGCATGAGAGCATGTTGTAAAACCGACCTTGTATAAGCTTAAATAGTGAAAGTGAGAAACCCTTCAGCACCCACTGTATTCTCCTGACATGTCTCATTCGGATTTTCATTTATCCCGGTTTCTACAAATAATTTAAATGACAAAAAATTTGACTCTGTCCAGTCAGTCAAAAACTGCCTCACAAAATTCTTCCAACAAAAACACGATGTTTCTACGAAAATGGCGTCAACAAGCTTGTAGAACGATGGGAGACAGTTGTTAAAAACAATGGATACTATGTACTTGGCTAATAAATGTTTTTTCGTGAGTATGTAAAATTTTATTGTTAATTTTCTAATCAGGCACGAACATTTGCAATGATCTAATATTTGCTTTTTGATGTTTAAATCAGTGTTTCCGATGTAAACCAATAGTGCATACCTATTTTAGGAATCCGTAAACATATCCACCCTATTCGAGATATTTCCTCGGGAAATCATAGTTAGAAATAGCGACGTCGCGTCACGTGTCTCGTAACCCATTAGGGTCGTAGAGACACCCCATGTGCTGCAGCAATAGCAGCACTGATGTGTCTAGGGTAAGTTAGCCTGATAGAAGCAACCCCGCTTCTGTTTCATTTCGAATTCAAAGTTTTCCTTATCCTAGATTGGTTGCCACCTCAAGTCAAGAATGTTCTACTATTTAACCCATAACTGAAGGAAGATGGATTTATGCCTTTTCCAAGGGAATTAGAGGGAAAAGAAGGAAACAGAATCGACTGGAAATTGAACTCGGCTCAGCGATTTTACTTTCTGTGCCGATCACTGTTGTACTATCCGCCTATCCATAGTTAAGAATACTAAGGAATTAAGTTAAATTAAACACATAGAGGATGTCAATGTTTTAGCAGACTATAGTATGTCCTATTGTTGTATTCATGTGATTTTTCTATAAATATTTTCGTGGCAATTGTTCTGAGGATCTTTCCTCTTTGGTACGTAGACTTTTCGAATTTAAGCGCAGTACTAGATTGGCAGCTAGGTTTCATCACCTTACAGTTGAAATGTCTAGATGTAACCGTAAGTTCTATGTTAATAGTTTCTTCTCTTGCACTTCTTGCTTGAGGAACTCCCTCCCGGCTCTTGATTCCCAGCCAACGTTCATCTTCAAAAATTTATATGCAATGTCAGTCGTTATCCTCAGTCTTCTTAATTCCTGTTCTTTTAACTGTTAATTCTTTAATAAGTTTTTCTTTTGTCAATCCTCGCGTCTTTGTGGCTTTATTGCATTGCTTAAGATGAAATTATTAAAAAACAATAAAAAAAAACAGAGTAAAATGAAAGTGAGTAGGTCGAAAAGTAACAAAACCTTCGTAGACAGCCGAAAAAGTATGTGAAGGATAAAAGCACCAAAGATCACTACAAAATGTTAGAAGGACTAAAATTATATATATATTATTAGTTCTTATTTTTACTACAAGCTTTCGTCTGTTCCTACAGACATCTTCAGGTATGGAATAGATGTTGTTCTTGTTTTTTTTCTCAGTAATAAGAGGACAACGAAAATATATGTATTGTTGTATCCGAAAATGCTATTGGAAATGAGTTATTGTTTTTGGAGCGTGCAGTAGCTTGTAGTAAAAATAAGAACTAATGCAGCAGAAATTTATAGAAACAAGGATCTTTTCATTCATAACAGGTTCGGAGGTTTTTGTATATTATTTGAATTGTTTGCGACGATGGATTTCTCGCCAATTAAATCATTAACCTTTGCATTTGTTTTTGTGTGAATAATTCATGAATTTGTAAATTGATTGCAATATTTATCGAAATATATATATATATATATATATATATATATAATTTAGAACGATCAGTGCGAGTTTTCAGACATGCCGTATCTTCGTAATCACCGTTAGACTCATTCAACTCTTTCTAAATCCTCTGCACTCTCCTCAAATTGACACCCAAACGCTCTGAAATGTTCGCATTGGAGTTTCGGCGCGAATGCCAAGCAGTACAGCATGCCGTTTCCAAATTTCTGGCGGAGTGAATTGCGTCATGGTGATCTTTTTCTGGCCATACTATACTGTGCAGTCGACAAAATCAAAAGAGAACATAGATAGATAGATAGATAGATAGATAGATATGAGCATATATACAGAAAATGAGCGAGAGAAAGGGAGAGGCGGAGAAACTAAACAAGGCAGAAAAGAAATCGTAAGAAAAATAATTTATTTTAGAAGCGTTCTTTGTATTTTACAAACTGAGAAAAATCAAGTTCGTCAATTTTTTGTACAAACATCTTGGAAGTCGTATATCAAGAAAAAAAACAACATAAGAGCAAATATTGACTTCCGTTCCCAATTCCAACAACGTCTTCTATCACAAGAGACAAAGAACCTGATCCATTGCTTCTTCTGGACGTGACTGTGAGCGCTCTCCTCAAACGAATACTAACAATGGCTTTTTTTTTCAGTTAAGAATTGCGGCCTGAAGAAGTTATAAAAATTCGTTGAAATTCCTGGACTTTTGGCTCTGTGGTTATGTTTTAGCAGAAGGAAGGGGGATGTTTACTTTAGCAGAAGAAAGGGCTGGCAAAATAGTTAGGACTTTATGACAATCAGCCCTGGCAAGTGATGCTAAAACTCAAATAAGAAGAGTAATAAAACCCTGACAAAAGCGCGGGCAAGGAACAAAGTAGGGCGTGGGGAATTATTCACGTGGGTTTTAGACGTATGCATGTGTACGTACCCACACAGATGCTAATACACCTACACGACCACACACACACACAAACACACACACACACAAACCTAAGACACCTATACACCAACTCTAGATCTGTCGATCAAGCAAAAACTCTTACAGTCTTAGTTACCTGAATCTTTTTCTATGCGTCGTGTCCCTCCAGGCCGTTGGCAATCATGGCTCGCCACAATTTCCTTTTTTTTTATAGCTCTTAATAATTTTTGCCTTTTTGACATCTTTCCCAAAGTTACCTGAATACTTGTGTTTAACTTTGTTTACACCTGCATGTGGGCGAATGTATGCATTTTCGAGCCTTTTATTGTGAAGTTTGCATATGCATCCACGCAAACATATTGAAAGTTCAACGCATAAATTCTAATAGAGAAATACACATAGATAAATACACACACACACACACACACACATACGGCTTACGTCTACATCACGTTGAAACACTGGTTCCCATAGGATAACCGAAGTTAAGCAACGTCGAGCATTGTCAGTACTTCGGTGGGTGAGCTCTTAGGAATACCAGATGTTGTAAGCTTGGGTGTGCGGGTGGTGTGATAGATAATCGCTCTGAATTGTTAGTCGGAGGGCCGAGTTCCAATTCCCGTTCGGTTCGTTATATTACGCGCTAATACCCTTGTCAAAGCTATGAATCGACCTCTTCTCCCCCATCTATGGGTTAATTACTAAGAATTGTATCACTATACCGTTATCATCTCAAAAAGATTCTCACAATCTAAAAATATTTTCTGGTTTTAAATAACCTGTAATGGGTTAACCCTTTGCCTGTCCAGGACATTTTCGGATGTACTAACCAAGAGTTCATTCTTGTTTTCAGATTTATAACTATTGCAAGGTAACCCAGCTTATTTGTCAAATAGAATGTGCAGACATATTGTTTCACATAATAAAAACGTACAAATCATAAGTTTACACTTACGTAATAAGTTTTTTTACGTAATAAAAACGTACAAATTATAAATTTACACAACGCTTTCTGCATCACATGTAATGCACAGATTGTTGTCATGTGAAACACTATATATATGCACATTCTATTTGCCAAATCAGCTGAATTGACTCCCAGTAGTTATACATCTGAAAACAGGCAATCGTCCTGTGGGTATATATGATGCTCAAAATATTAGATTAGGCGTTTCCTCACGCGTCCTGCTCAATAGAAGACTCTTTTCTTAAGCGTCCTTAGTTTTGCCATGCTTTTAAAATCATGACTCATGTGAACCACATATGATGCACGGACGTGGAAATCCCATGTCCTGAGCATCACATAAGACGCGAAGAACAAGCAAAGGCTTAATAAAACGTAGAAAATGAATTCATCAATCAGCACATACATGCACAAACACACACACACACAGTTGATTTCGAAAATGACCTACAATCTCTTGTCAACTAGGGCAAGAAGTGGCTTTTTTAATATTAACGCTACTAAAATGAAATTGTTCTCCATTAATCATCTTAAAGAACTACTTTTGCTTTGTATCATCATGGCTGATGCTAATCACTAGGAAAGTAAATCACAACGCTTTCATAGTCACACATTTTCCAATAATACGTAGTAGAACGTTTATATTGTTAAGTCTTCTTCTAGGATCAATGTTTTCTCACCAGAATCTATCTTACATATTTACAAATCTACTTTTCGTCCCTTTATCGAATACTGTTGCCATATCTGGTCTAGTGCGTCTGCTATGCGTATAGAGATTCCTGACAAAATCTAAAGAATTATCACCAAAGCTATTGGTCCCAACTTGGCATCTCAACTTTCCCATTTTGCCCCTTCTTTAAATATTTTCAAGGTAATTGTTATTTCCTCGTTGGTACCTCGACTTCATGAATTTAACCAAAGTAATAAAGGGTGTTCCAATAACTTGAACCAATTTTAATGTGAATTAAGTTTAAGCGTCTAATGATTTTTTTCTTTTTCTTTCAGATTTGGCGGACATTTGAGCGATATTATTTTTCACACATAATTGCCATTTCTTAAATAACATGATCCAATAGAGAAATAAATAAACTTTCACCAATAACACTGATTTATTTAGTGCTGACTTTGATCCGTCTTAATGAAACACCCTTATATATAATCCGTCTTAATGTAACACCCTTTAGAATGCCAGCGTAGTTTAATACTTTCACTGTTGAAATTGCTAGTTTTTGCCATAAGATCTATGCTAATAGTTTCTTTTCTCGCACTTCTAGCTTGTGGAATTCTCTTTCGATTTCCAGTTACCTGTTAACTACGATTTTCGAAAATTTAAATACAACTTCAATCGTAATCTGGAACAAAAATATTCTATTATTTACATTATTTATATTCGGACTAATATCCTTATATTATTTGTCTTTATCATAACATTTTGGCCGTTGTATTCTCATTTTGGCCGTTGACTTCTTCAGGTGTCTGCCGATTCGGGTAACCTTCAGAGAATTTCGATTGAACCTTTTATTGAATCTGCTGGGGTGGAGATTGTTCTTATTTCACTGTCTCGGAATATCTAGTCTTGTTCTTATTTGGTACTGCTCATAATAAGTTAATAGTACAACTGGAGAGAACTCATATTGAAAGCCAGCATTCTAAGATTTTGAATTTTAACAGAACTCTTAACTAATTAGAAACAAGCATGCAGCTCTCTCAGTCAACTGTGAAAGTTTGTATATAAAAGGAGACCCGAGGTAAGAGGCGTGTGGTTCTACAGGAGGATTCTGAGAATAACATGGACGGATAATGTGACTAACGAGGATGTTTTAAGAAAAAGGGAAAATGAACAAAAGAAAAGAGGTCGCATCTTCTTGAAATCTAAAAAAGACATTCGAAATTTATGGTACACATAATGAAGAAAGAGAGCTTGGAGAATTTAACACTCACAGGGCATACGGAAGAGCAAAGGGTAACATCGAGTTAACAACCAAATGAGCTTTTGTAAATGAATCTCAGAACGGGGCCTGAGAGAGATACTAAGGGAACAAACATTGTTTTTAGATATGAAGATGGGGAGAGCCATGATCACTACTCACGTACTGCTGGGACACGACACATAAAAGAAGAATATTTTTGAACGAGTGTGTATGTGTGTGTGTTCTTTTTTTCAATAAAATGGCAGTAAAATTAGAATTTGCTTATATCGTTGCTTATTATAAAGGACATCCTTGTTGTTACGCTCGAAATACTGCAATGGCGCATAATTGCACACTTTTCCCTCAATACATAATAGATTAACAATTTATAGGCAAGTATATAAAATCTTTAACTCCTAAATCACATCCAGAATTTGCAAATGATGGTCATTTGAAGAGGAACATGTAATTAATCTGACTTGTAAATTTCCGGATTCCCATAGACTGGAGGATATGTGAACTTGAGATTTGCGTATATCAATGTAATTTTAATTGCTTTTCAGTTTGTGTGCCTATTTTTCTCCTGTAGGATATTTATGAATGTGTTTATTTATGTGAGCATGAGTAAATACGTGTGATATTGTGTAAAAATGTACGCGTATGTGATTGTGATATCGAGTGTAAATACATACGTGGGCAGGTGTGTGTATGTGTTTGTTTTCCTTTAATGCTTATACGCGCAGTTTATAAAAGTTTTTAAAAAGCCCAGTTTTGTCTCTCACATTACGTAAGGAATATGCTGGGTAATTTTAGCAAGATTTCACAAATTTTACAAGGAGGCGAATTTGCTACAAGACCTTTAAACTTTTTCAGTGTTTTTCTTTTTGTATTTGCCGAATTTTCACTTTATTCTGTTTTACAGTTTTATATCATCCTTTCATTTTAAAATGCAAATTTAAATACTCTTTTTTATTTATTGCCATCCGAGTTAAAGATTTCGCAAATGTAAAAGTATTTTAATTTAACAGACTAGTCACAGTTTGCAGATTTTACAGGTGATTTAAGATTGGGGTTGAACGGATTTATGTACTTTACAATGAATTTTAAGAATATTATATATATATATATATATATATATATATATATATATATATATATATACACACACACATATATATATATATATATATATATATAATTGTGTATTTGGGTAGCAACCCTTCTTTTGTAGAAGTTTCATTAAAAACGGCTGACATGGTATTGCGGTTAAAGTTTTTATTTAATATTTCTTGTTTTCTTATAATTTCCTCCTTTTTTCTGGACATAAATTGTGTATAAATTGTCCAAATATTCTGTATGTTCGAGCGCTTTTTGCTATACTTTTAGCCATTATCACGGATGATTTTATTTTTACATTTAACTGAATGTATGGATTATTTTATGTATTATCTAGAGTTATCGGAATGCTTTATTTTCCAAACATGGTCAGAACATTGTGGTCATGTTCATAGTTGATATTATTGAGTGTTGGCTTTTTCTTTTTTTTTTTTTTTCATTTATAACGCTTCCATTTTTTTTTTTTTTTACATGTGGACAAGGCTATTACATTTGTATTATAAGCGAGTATTGTGCAGATAAAGTTTGGTAGGTTTCTATGTGTATTTAAATGAGACTTAATTTAGCTATAGTCAGAGAGATGTAACGTGAGCCTTCTAGATATAGCCGAAAGCGCTCGGACATAAAAACAACTTGGACAATTTCTACATAAATTGTGTTCAGAAAAGAAGAAAATTATAAGAACACAAGAAAAATTAAATAAAAATTTAACTGCAGCAAGAGTCGTTTTTAACGAAACTTATATATATATATGTGTGTGTGTGTGTGTGTATCTCGAACCTACGTACCCCTGCGCAGAGGGAACAGTCATTAGACCCGACGTGCTCTAGCCCGACTGGGCTACAGATAACTTAGTTGATCAGGGAAGGCTGAATAGTGCCTTTAAGCAAAATTCCTCTCGTCAAAAATTCACATATCTGCTCAGTTTCGTATACAAACGTAAACAAAGCAATTTTCTCAGGAAGTAATGGATTTTTATATATTGACCCGACATATTTTATCATTTTAAACGTTATCTATAGTGCATACCCATATTTAGGTAGATACTTCGTTTATTTATTAAAAAGTATATTTATTTATTTTCGCTAACAACCAGAATATTCGAGAAACCTTATAAAAAATATGCACTGTTCTCTGTAGCTCAGTCAGCCTAGACCACCTCGTGTATATATATATATATATATATATATATGGTGTATTTGGGCAGAAGCGTTATAAATATATATATGTTCTTTACCAAGGAGTTTTGTCCTCTGATTTCTGCCAAATGTGAGGATTTTATTTTGCAATCTTTCTTAGTTTAAGAACGCTTCAAAATTTTTAAAATTTTTAAAGCCTAACGATGTTTTTACTTCTTTTTATAAATACATGTTGCAAAATAAAAAAATATTTCCACTTGTTTTCGTCATCAGTTGATGTAGAATTTTGTCTTTATTCATATTCTCTTTTTAGAGATATATTTTTGAATTTTACACACACACACACACACACACACACACACACACACATATATATATATATATATATATATATATATTTCAAACGTTGTTTTGTTGTTTTT